AAAGCCACCGGCCCTCGGAGCTGCGAACAAACCAAAAAGCATAAAACTTCAACAAGAAAGAGTTAGTGTAGACTCCTGAATCCTGCACCCCTACAAAGCCGAGCGCCCCCCCCCAGGCCTCAAATCCAAAAAAAAAAAACAACCCTAAAGTAATGTGGGCCTCTAGCAGCCCATGACCCTCGTGGTAACGTTCATAGCAGAAGGGCCTTGCAGGAGGCCATCAGCGACTCCGCATCGAAGCCCCAAGGCTTCTTTCGGCCTCGGCTCAGGAGGGGCTCTCCAAGGGTTCAGAGGCGGGGCTTTTGGAGGACCCATGGGCTCTCTACTAACACTAGTGCGAGGGCTTCAGGGACTTCAAGTTCTAAGGATTTCTGTAGAGATTAGGGCATTAGGGAATCTCAGGGTTCAGGGTTTCAAGCATGGGTTGAGGACTGGGCGCAGGAAGCCTGAAGGAATCTGTCATCGTCATCAAGAAGCCTTTGCCATCATCGTGGTTCAAGTGTCAATTCAATAGCAGCAACAATTCATGTTTTGCTCTGGCCCGTGCAAAGAAACGCAGCCGGACCGCAATGGGTAACACTGGACTCCAACCAATGGAGGAAAACCTGATATTAGATACCTTCTGTTGGGACCCAACCAACCGAAGGATTTCGCGGTCTGTGCGAGTCCCACCTTCAAGATCTGGCGCGCCAACGTTGGAGGGGTTCCTTAGATGCCACAGAACTCTAGGATGGACACGGAGCGCGGCAGGGCGCATCGGCCACAAGAGACCTAATCCGGTACCTTGAACCCCGGGCCCTGATGTTCATCACCAGAACCTCTAGCTCAGAGGCCGAACCCTCGGCCTCCCTTCTGGAACCAAGCTTCGCCTTGGTGGCGATGTAGAACCTGATTCGCATGACCATGAAGATACTGATAGTTGTAATAACAACATTAACATCGTGGTCGGGATCATCACAGCCACTGTTCCGCTTGATCGTCCAGCTAGGAGGGTTGAAGCGGTCTGAGATCGGGGATTTCCACGTGAAGCAGGCCTTTGGGGGTCTCAGGGTCTGTTGTGCCGGCTCAGGTGGACTCAGGTGGCGGTGGATCTTGTGCCTGCGAAGTTTCGCAGTGCGGGAATTCTAACAGACCACGGGAATCAAACCGCAATGAGAGCTGATGATGAGCTGTCTGGGTGCGGAATTGTATAGAATTCCAAGGCGTAGAAACCGTAAAGTAGAGGAGCAGGCCACCAGGAGTCGCGATTCCGGGCAATCGCGATTGCACCGAAGGGTTTCTTGCCCAAGTGGCTTCTCTCGTTTCACAGTGCCGTTGGCGATCGCCTTCTCCAACCAGTTGCCGATCCACTCCTCCGTCAGCTTCCCCTCTACCGGGGGCACCGGATACCTGAGGATGGCGGCAGCTTTGGCTCCTCTGTGGTGTTGATATTTTTATCAGCTTTGTGCCTGCTTTGTACCTGCTTCATCTTAACTCCTCCTACTCCGACTCCTGCTCCACACCCTCCTCCTCCTGCCGCCACTGCCACTGCTACTGCTGCTCCGCGCCTCCCCTTGCATATGCTACTTGCATATGCTACTGCTATTGCTACAGTGCCTGGAATTCAGAACAATGATCGAGCAAGATCGCCAAACAATCTTGCCCCACTTGCCCCACTTGGGGTGGGAGGGTTGGTCTAAACTGCAAAATTGCAAGATTTTCCTACAAATCAATTTTCTGAATCATGCACTACTACCACTACTCCTCCTCCTCCTCACTCCTCCCCTCCACACCACCACCACCACCACGACAACGACTACCTGCTACGACTACGACCGCGACTACTACTCCTGCTTCTTCTCACGCCATGCATGTTGCTTCACCTCGCAACTATGCACACAATGCATGGAGACTTTGTGGACATCAGGGTGCAGCTCCGCGGTGTCGATGAAGTTCACCCCCAAGCGAACCTGAGGAAACTTCCATTGTCGAAAACAGAAAAACAAAGATAGCTAACCCTTCTGGAACCCTTTGTGGAACCCTTTGTAGAAACCTGAAAATAAGCTTGAGAGCAACCCTTAAAGCCTTATAGAACCCTTTCAGCAAGCCTGGAAGCCACAAACACCAAAGGTGGGGCCTGCCACTGGTGCTTTCAAACTTACGAGGGTCCTGGTCTCGCTTTAGGAGGCCTTTGAGACAGCCTCCAGGAGGCTTTTTGTAGGTCCCAGCTCCGACCTTGTATAGCCAAAGCCGAGGTGCCATGGCATCCAGCTGCTCGTGAGCCATCTTCTCCTCGGAACTTTGACTGGGAGTTTTGTCATAAGTTGTTCTCCTGTCTTGGATTCAGGTCGTGGTACCACACTTTAGGGGGAAAAGTCGGTGCGAGACCCCAGCTTGTCCAGCCCAGAGCCGGTCGTGACAGCAACACTCAATCGTAATCATACTGGCAATGAGAAGAGGAAGAAGGAAGGAAAATGGCACGACGATCCGACAAAAGATCCGTACACGACCAGAGCAAGACGGCCAGCAACAGCACAGGTCCAGCGGCAGTGATGTCAGCGGTGCAATGCTGGAGTGGTGCACAAGAGCTTGCACGAGCACTTGAAGCCCCCAAAGCTGGCAGAACTCCGCTCGTGAGCTCGTGCGAGAAGAACTTGCATTCCTTCCCGAATTCGGCAGAAACGGCCTCTTGGTTGAAGGTGCCCCACATCATGGTGCCGCCACAGACTTCAGACACCATCATGTCCTGGGATGTGCAGTGCGAGGCCAGAGGAAAGGTTGCAGAATGCACTGAAGACACAGTTTGGAGTTGCGGGACTCGACTTCAGCAACTTCGCTGCATCTCATTGGACTCAGAACATGCCCCGGCTTGGGGCAATCCCAGAACAGGGACAGCATTTAACCCTGGCAGCTCGGAACCCTAAAATCCTGAGCCCGACACAAGGAAGAAGCGCTCCAGCCAGCAACCAACCCGACCGCATCATTGAAAGCTGAGGGTTGCGGTCATTCTCTATTAGGTCGAGTTCCAAGGTTTAGGGTCCGCGGGTTTAGTCCTACTTCCAGTGCCGCAGAGTGCTAAAGCCACTAGCAAGATCGGAGAATGAAGCGGGCGACCGATTACCAGTTCCTTGGACGTAACTGAAAAGCCCCGGCCGCGATAGCCTTGCAGCCCGGCACCCCGGACTACGCCGCATCAAGAAGTTCACACACGAATGGCCCTTCTCTGCTTTGTCTTTGCTTCTCCAAGTCGCACTTGTCCCAAACTTGACCTCAATTGTTCCGAAACGACATGGCGAAACAATGCTTCACTTATAGTAGCAACAAGTGTGGCAGGCAAAACTCAAAACAACCCAAAAACCTACCTTTGGAAGTGTTGGCCAGGCCACATACTTCAAGGAAGGCAGTCGTTCCACCATAGCGAGGCTTCACCGAAGGCTCCAAAGCCCCACAAGTTACAACAGCAAACTCGGGAAACTTGAGGAACCTAACATAACAGGCTTGTGGGTACAAGCAACTTACTGTAGGACATCCCGAAGGGGTCCCAGCAAAGGCGGGATCGGATCCGAACGGAAGTCAATGAATAGAACACCCCGACATCGACGTAAAAAGCCAGTGAGCCGGCATTGGTTGAAGTTTTCTTCTTGATTTGGAGATGCACCGTTGTGGGGTGGTGCACGAAGGCCGCTGCCCTTAAAAACAAGGAACTTTGAGGCATTGAAAGCAAATTGTAGTCCAACCTCTGCAAAATGGAAGGATGCCGGCTTTAAACTGCTTCACCGTTAGTAATTTATGCATACATGTGTGTGTATGTAAACATACATACAGCTACATATATATATATATATGACCATATATATATATATATGTGCATATGCACAGATATATATATATATACACACATACATATGTACATCTGTATATACATGCACATACATACATACATACATACATACATCCATGCATACATACACACATGCATGCATACATACATACATACATACATACATCCATGCATGCATGCATGCATGCATGCATACATACACACACACATATATATACATAGGTACATATATACATATAAACATGTACACATGTTTTTATCATACATACATATAAACAGGTAAACCTATACGCATAGACACATATACACAAAAATACATGTATGCACATATACCTATACAGCACATGCAGTATCTACATAAGTATATATATAAACAAATACATATATATATATATATGTACGCGTTTGTGTATGTGCATAGATATGTATGATGCGTGCATATTATGGGAAACTGCTTGGTTTTCTGCACCTGTGACACTCGCAACGTACCGGTAGCACAAGTGGGTGCAAGTGATAGCGGAGGCGACATTGTGATTCCGCTCCACTTTTCGCCCTCGCTGCCGCAGTGCTTACTAAGCTACTCCTGGACATGCCATGGAAGAGCGTTGGACGGCCTGGAGCAAACGCAACTCGAGACTGTTTTGAAAGCTTGAAGCATCTATTTGTGTGTGCTTCCCTGAATTGAATCAAAACCTGCTTGTTCCTGTACACATACGACGAATTTCGTCAGAGCATGCCTGCCAGAAAGCTGAAGAGTTGTGCGACCTGTTGCCAAAAGGCTGCCACTGCAACAGGGAAAGCAGAAAAACTCTTTACTTTGGAAGACTGCAGGGGAATCTGTGGAGACCCGAGCTTGTAAGCATCACATAATTCGATGCGTCTCCAGATCCCTGCAAGGACCTGGTCTGCCCAAGCCCTTTTGGGGACTGCTGTTCAATGCCAGTCCTAGCACCTTAAAAGACTGCATCATTGCCGAATAGCTGGCAATGTGGGATCAGTCACTAAAAGATCGCCACTGCAGTGAGGAAGGTAGAAAACCAGAGGGAGAATTGGAAGCTTGTAGCCCGATCAGCTGTACTTTGACCAGCCACGAAAGCTGGACGTCATTTGCTGGCCCTCAATGCCCCGATTCCTATACAAAAACACTTCCAAAGACAGAACCTTGACGATGCTCGAGCTACTAGCGTTGCATTCTTGCCAAGAGATCTGCAAGGGGCTCCTCAGACTGAAGGTCGTCAAGGGATACCTGCGCTGAGGGTGTCTGCCGAGAAAACTGAGTGTTTTGATGGGTATGACTGCTCCAACGAGAGGTGCAAAGGAGAAATGCGGGATGCTGTCAGAGATTCCGGACAAAGGTGCCTGACCAACAGAATAATCGGTACAGCCCGCCTCTATGCCTGAGAGCCTCAGCTTCTGCTGCAACTCGATCGCAATCATGGAGTCGACCCCTGAGTAGAGTTAGGTGCATCTCTTTCTCTGAAACGGGACACCCGGATCCCTCGATCTCAACTCGACCAGCCTTGATATTGGAGAGGCCGCGACTCGTCGAGCTGTGCGACAGCCATGATGTTCACAAGCTTCTCCAGCAGCTTGTCGCGTGGGCGCAACCGTGCCGGTGCTTCTTTGTGCGAAGCGGGCGTAAATGCACGCCGTATCTGGTCAACGAATCGCGTCTGGACAGGCAACTCAATCTCGCTTGCGGGCGACGGGGAATTGGCCGATGGGGTGGGAAGAGCCTGCGATGGTCGGGGTGGGGTGGGTGGGGTGTCTGCCTCACTCTCAGCGACCTGCGGTTCCGGGATGCCGAAGTGGCGCATGACGGTGTGGAATCTGGAAGCCACAAAAGGATTGCTGGCGAGCGCGAGGGTGGGTAGCTGGTGCCGGTCAAAGGTTGCCACCGTCACCATTCGCAAGTCGGAGCACAGGACGACCTGAACACATGAAACCCCGTCACAAGCAAAGCAGACGCAATAGCCAAGCAGGGCCAGCCTGCAGCATCTGCATGATGGTGGCTTTGTTGATGGCAGGAAAGCCCCGGGTTTCGGCCAACTGTTGCTGCAGGTGAGCATTGCCGTTCATGACGCCCACCTGTCAAGCAGCACGCTGCATCAACTCCGTCTTCCAAGCGGAAATGATTCAGAGTCTGAACGGATAAGGAATGTTTGCAATCGTCTCTCCGCCGAGCTGCACGTGGAATCTACGAAACCGCCTCTTGGCTAGAACTATCTTGTCACTCGGTTTTGGATATCCCCCACATAAGTCTAAGCAGGGTCTAGCTCCTGCAGATTCCTAAACCTGAACCCTGAAGACCCCCTCGTCGTGGATCCTCTGAGCTCAAGGCTTGACTCCCGCCTCATCCAACACTGTGAAGTTGATCACCTGGAACTTGCAGTGCCCAAATTCGCTGTGGCCCACCTGCTGGACAGAAGCTTGTGCGACGTAGGAACGTGCCTCGTTGCCGAGAACTGTGTGCAGACGCTCTTGTTGCAAAAAGGCGACTGCGATGCTATTCGTGGCTGCGTTAAACAACTTCTGCCACCATCTGTCGACATGAACCCCAGCCCACACCAGATCCATGTGAACAGTCCCTTAACTAGAAAAAACCACCTTCGCTGACCAGTGTGCTCCCAGGTCGTTTTGGAAGCCGTTAGCACCTCCGTGAAGCACAGCGGGAACGGGGGAGCTGGCCTTAGGGTTGTGGGTTGAACACGGCTGCCCTGGCTGGAGGAGACAGCATCCGAAGAGGCCTGCATAGGCCACTTGACCATAGTTCCCCAGTGAGACCACCACGGAGCTGAGGAAGGTGAAGAACTCCAGGAATCCGAACGCTTTTCTTGCTGCTTCCAGCAGGGCCAGGCTTCCTGGCACCTTGGGAGCCAAGAGCGGACGGCCCGACGGCAGACGCATGGACTTGCACTGCCAGCCTTCGGACGCATGGTGGCATCGAAGTCCTCGTCTGAGACGTTGCGGAACATCTTGTCCCCGTCGAAGCAAGCAGCGCCGTGCAAGATGCCTTTCACCCGGCTGCCGTTCACGCCAATGCGATTCAGAGCCTCAGCACCAAAGCATAGCTCCTGTTAGACAACGTGCCCGGGCCGGGGTGCACGACCCCACCTGCCAAGAAGCCTTGAGCAGTTCCTCTGTGTTGGTGATGTCAGCTGCGACTGCCTGGACCTTGGTCCCTTTGAAGCGCCTCGCAAAGGCATCGAAGTCTCCATCCGCACTTCCTGGCAAGCATCTATGCGAGTGATGATTTGCGTCCAGTGTGCAATCGTTCCCGGCTTTTTCTCAACTGGGGCAACTGGGACTGGATTCAGGTGATGCCACTGCCCAGCTACCTCTCTTATCATACCTGCCAAGGTTCTGCGACCGATGACGACAACTGTCCCCGCGCCCATGCTTGCGAGCACTTCCACGACGAGGGCCGACAATCCGATTGTGCGAGCTCCACCGACCACGAGGTAGATGCCGTCGGAACTCAGGGTGGCCAAGCTAGAATGAAGCAGCAAACGAAGACAAGGGGGGGGGGGGGGGGNNGGGGGGGGGGGGGACAGCCTGCTGACTGATGCATTACGCCCACTCGCATGCCTAAACACGAAGCTGTAGCAATTCTAAGGCGGATGTCCCTTAACTTTGTGTTCAGAAGCATGACAAGTTGCAGGGATCCCTGAAGCCCCGTCCTGACGGGTGGACGCTTGCCTGCGATGAGGCCATCATAGCTGAGGGGCTGCCGAAGCAACTCGAGCCGCCGCACCACGCCTCCTGCTTCTAGCACGCTTAGAAGCTCTAAGGAGGTTGGTTCACGAAACAAGGTGACGAATGCTGGTGAAAAGTTTGGCTGCCTCGGATCAGTAGTTCGGCGCAGTCAGCAGGAGGATGGAGAATGACCCTTCCCAGCTGAGAAATGCTGGAAGCTGTTTGGTCGGCCATTTCGACCGAATGGAGGCGTCCACGTCCTGCTTGGAGGCGACAAAAGGGTCAGGGGAAGGCAGAGGTGAGAGGAAAAGTGGAAGAGCCGGGCCTGGGACCTCTTCGTTGACCAGGCATTTGCACATGGCCGTGTACATCCCAGGTCCAGGCTCCGCAGAGCCCCCGAACTGTGGGCTCTGCGTCGTAAGCACCACCACTCGGAGCCGCCTGGCCTCTCGGCGGTGCGCACACCAGCACATGACTTCCCTGAACCTTCGAAGCCCCTGGAGAGCGGATGCTTCGGTCTCCCCAGCATCGGAGCTTGTCCACTCATACACGATGGTCAATGCGTCGAATGCGGAGATTGCCGAGAGCGACAAGCTGGAAGGAACACTGCGGCGCTCGTGCCCGATGAGCGTGACCTCCGCATCCTTGAAGGCGTCTATCTCCAGCAAATTTGGCAAGATGCTTCTCTCAGCCTTGGCTGAACACATGAGCCCCACCTTGCGGATCTGCCAAAACGGGCCGTGCACTAACGACTGCCGGAAGCCTGATCCTAAAGAACCTTCGCAAATTGGACTTGCATCACCCAGCGGCGTGAAAAAAGACCACGTGCCCCGGGTTCTTTTCGATGCCGGGAGTGGGACTGAGCTTCAGCGGAGTCTCTGAAATGTTCCTGCGACGGAAAGGCTGACTTGCTCTTGGGATGCAAGACCGCAAGAGGCAAACAAGTGCTCAATGCATCTTGTGGGGCCGAGTTTCCAGAGCAGCTCATGGATTGGTTCGGCCTTCGATGACAGCAGCTTGGCCCAACAATTCATGGCCTCGACCACAGTCGTGCCATCCAGTGTCTCGAGGGCAAAACCTGAGAGACTTGAACAATGAAAACGTCCATCAGAACCCACGCCATGAAGGGTCCAATAAACTTCCACGGCCCCTGGAGCCCAACTCCGATGCAGCCAGGCAGCTTGCGCAAATGGCCGAGCAAAAGTCAGGCTGCGCTTTGATGACAATTCGTAAAGAAGGGCTGTTCTCGAAGAGATCCTTCCATTGAAGAATTGCAAGCCGGCAAGACTCATGACAACAAGTTAAAGACTAAGAGACGAGCATCACTTCCGGCAGATGGGCTGCGAGCTCTATATGTGCAACCTTGCCGGGTTCCGATGGTTCCGGCAGTTTCAGTGTATGCAACCTTGCTTGCAACCTGTGCCAAATTTTCCGATGCAAAGAGAGCCTTCTTGAAGCAAGCAGCAAGGATGAAACAGTAGTGCAGGGTGACGCCTCCATGAAGGTAGGACTTCCCTCACAAGCCCTTCGGTCCTTGTTAAAGACCGTGAGCCGTTCGACCATCGTCGGGACCGCCCCCTTTGCCCGCACATCTTCAGGAAGTCGCCACAGGCACAGCCCCAAGCTCACCTGCGTTTCTGGGTTCTTGGGAACTTCCTGGTTGGGGCTGATGCGGCCAGGTCTCCTGCAACGCCTGGTCCAGCAGAACGGCCCCGCCACCGCCAGTGTGCAAGGCGCCTGTGCGGAGCGCCTCTGCGCTTTTGACGCAGCCGAGGGCGAAGCAAGGCTGCGACCTGACCGGCAGATGCCGCAGCATGTTTTTGGTGTCGCTGGGTCCCGACAATTGACAGCACCTGCTTTTGAAGACAGAAATCCTCATCCCTGCCCCTCTCCACCTGTTGGCCGAACTCACTGTCACATCGCCCTCGATCGCCAGGTCGTGCCCATATTGCAAGCCTGCCCGCGCCAACAAACGAAGCAACTCCGAAGCGGTGACCGTCGTCTGCTTGTGGAACCACCCACGGATTCCTCCAGTGGAAGCTGAGAGCTGCTCCGAGATCTTGCGCCAATCTGCAGACTGAAGGCGCTGCTCCTCAAGGAAGCCTTCCGCAAAGTGCAGCTGGCCATCCTGACTCTTGATGGTGGCATGCCCGTCTGGCAGCACCCGAATGCTGACGGCCCCTTCTCCGGCAGGATGCTGGAAGCGAAAGTTTGACAAGGTAGGGAAGCGGTAGTCTTTGCTCTGAAGGACCGTCTCCATCAAGAGTGCTCCCGGGACCAGCTTTTTGCCATTGCGCTGGTGCTGCCTGAGGATTGGAATATCCGCAGTGAGATGCACGTGCGTCACATCCACCTTACAGCCGAGAAAAGTCTCAGTCTGGCAGTCTGGCAGCGGCCCTGACCCCACGACCCCTCGCATTGATTCTGCGCCCGCTGCTGACAAATGTGTTGTTCGTATCGTTGCTACTACCACCAATGCTTCCTTCGGTGCATTCTTCACAAACTGGGCAGAAATAACACCTAGATGCTGTTCACTAGTCACGTGGCCAACGACATTTGCAACTCCGCAGCCCCCAGTGAGGAGCCGGAAGAATGTCCCTCGCTCGCTGATCCTTTTTTGCAAGGCAGGATCAGAGTTGATCTAGGCGTAGCGCCCGGGTTCAGTTCAAGACAAACGCTCGAGGGCCCACAGCGAAACAGTGTGCCCTAGGCGCCAGAGACCAGACGCGGAAACTTCACTGAAGATGCCAAGATTCTGGTGGAAGTCTCCGAGCTGCTGGCATCGTCCTGGCAATAGTCGGCTTTGCTGTGATTCGAACGTGATTTGCGGACGTCCGCACGGCGCACGAAAGCAGGAGTGCAGAGTACGGGGTCCTGGCTATCAGACTCATTCGCGCATTCCTGGCTCAAGGCCTCCTTCTCCGTGCCGCCTCTCGCTTCCCAGCCCGGACGCCTGTCGAACTGCACCTTACGTGTTGTGGGCTCAGGCCCAAGAGGCCCAAGTGTGTGCCAGGCTGAAGGGCAAGGCACAGCCAGGATGTGTGCCAGGCCGAGCTGGCAGCCAGGAACTTCTCTCGGGAGGAGCTGCTGCCAATCGAGGTCGATGCCTGCATTTACGTAAGGTGCCAGCACCCCATCACAAATCACAGGTCCCGCGATGCTTCACTTTCATGCCAGAATCTGAGGAGCTCTCCTTGCTCCCAGATCCCCGCCAAAGCTTTCTGGATGCCAAGCATCGTAGCACAGGACTTCTTCCCTGTCAAGGACTCGACCTGCTCGGGGCACCATGTTCAGGATGCAGCTGAAAACTGGGCGAAAGCACAGAGGCCCAGAGAAAGGGCCATGCCTTCACCGATCCTGCCCTCCCGGTCTCTGTCGCAATGTTCATGATGTGGCGGGCATTCTGGCTCTTCAGCTCCAGGAAGATGATGCGACGGCCTTGCTCACCTCGCGGGTCCGTCACATGCATCCGTGACAGGTGGACCGAGTATTAAGAGGCACACAACTAGAATTGCAAGCCAAGGGGCGCTGCAACAGCGTGCGAACAGCGCTCGCGAATTGCACACTCTGGAGAGTGTGACGCTTCCAATACTCGACCGTGAGGTCGCTAATCCGGACCTCCCGCCCTTCCACCTGAACATGAAACACCGGGCCAAAGCAGTATCGAGTGGGGAGGGGCTATACAGCTCAATGAAGTTGACGTCGGAAACAATACAAATGCCTCTGTCACAAGCCGAGAAACAGTGGAGAAGAAGCGGCATCTTGCCTGCTCTGCTCGAGGCTCAAGCTTGCAAGCCATCTCAAAGAACTCAGCTGCAGGCTTGCAGAGCTCTTCATGGTGATAGGCCATTGGAAGCTGCAAGTCAATCCACTTCTTGATATCCAGCTCTGCCTTCACCTTCTTGAGAGAATCCTGGAGCCCGGATACTGTGCAGCACTGGCTGCTGTTCTCGGCCGCCACGTGAACTTGCTCACGGGGCGGTACGGACGTGTTAAACTCTTCGAGGGCTTCTCTGACAGTTTGGACGTCCACGCCCTGAACAACCGCCATGGTGCCTTCTGGTGCGTGCAAACTCCCGATCTTCGCAAGCCTCAGGTCACGTCGGCCTGGCCTACCCATGCCCGAAACCTGAAGCCCCCAACATTGCAAGAAGTCCGAACAAGCAACAGGAGGTCCACAGATGCTTGCAGGTCAAAAGCGCCTGCCAAAAAGGCACCCGGCAATTCGCCAGCGCTGTGGCCGATCACTGCATAGGGTTCCAGGCCGGCATGCGACACCAAGCTTGAAGCGAGGATCGAGAAAGCAAAGAGCATAACCTGCTGGTTGAAGATCTCCTTTGGAAGATCCTCGCCTGAGAAGGGGCATGGATAGAGTCTCAAGTTGGTGCACCGTACACTCGAAGACTTAGCCTACTCTGTTTGTCGGGCACACGTAGCAGGCCACAGCAGCCTGACAGCCGGCCTGACACGAGGGCATCCCAGTCCACGTGTTTACCGCGGCACTGGAAAGCAGCCTTCAAGTCCTGGAAAAGCCTCTGAGTCGATGGAAACAGCAGCAGCCTTAGGTGCGGCCAGGCCGCACATTGAGGCCTTTTGAAAGAAAACAGTATAATGAAAAAACACAACAAGCCAATTTTGGCCAGGCATCTCTTGGAGCATCCCTGGAACCTGGCAGCCGTTCCCGGGAATGACAAGGGCTATCAGGGGAACCTCAGCATCCTTCGACGTCTCGACTTCAACCAGACCCTTCGGGTCCTCTGATTCTGAGACAAGCAACACCTTGCGGTGCTTGTGCACTTCTTGTCGTGCCGCTTGCTTTGCCAGTTGCTGCACATCCGTCGGGGACAGCTTTTCATTCTGCAGCACGCTGCTCAGCTTCTCTTGCTGCCGGCTCATCGCCTCCGCCGTTTTGCCTGAGATGATAAGGACCTGGTCGCGACACATCACCTCACCAGCCATGCTGCCCTCACTGGCCGGGCCAAGCTGTGCATGAACATTGGTTCCGCTGAAGCCGAAGCAGTTTACGCCCACAGGCCTGGATTCGATCTGCTGGAATTCTGTGCTCAGCGAGAGCGGCCCAACATCAATGCTTGATTGGGGCTGCCAAAAGCCTCCACCGTGGCCAAACATGCCCCGACACGCAAGCACATGGCAGCATTTCAGGAGCGATACCAGGCCAGCCGCTGACTCAGTGTGGTTCACGTTGGCTTTGATAGCTCCGATGGGTAGGCTGGGGCTGCCAGACTGCCAGAAAACCTGCGTGACAGATGAGACCTCGACGGGGTCACCAGCCTTCGTCCCAGTCCCGTGACACTCCACTGCCGCGAGAGCCTGCTTCACTTGTTCAGAAACATCTCTCATGCAGCTTTGTTGCTGCTCGGTGGATGGTCGTGTGATAGGGGTGACGGATCTGCCGTCGTTGTTCGCGCAGATTCCCAGAATCTTCGCAAAGGCACAGCCTGCTGTCCCGGCTTCCTTGATGGCAACCGCCACCACTCCTTCGGCCCTACCGTAGCCGTTCGCTCGCTGGTCGAAGCTCCGACAACGTTCAGAGATCATCCTCGCCTTGCGACAAACCAAGCTCTTACTGCTAGTAATTGCTCGTACAAACCCGACTGCCCATTGCTGGAGCTCCGCTTCTGGAAGAATGAGATGGCCCCCGTGACAGCGAAGCATGTTCCATTGAACCTTCAATTCGCCTCGGCCCTGGCCGAAGTGGTCAGAGTTTGCAGGCATCTCCTATTTGCTCTCCTCCTGATCCCCGTCCCCCCCCTTTTCTCTGGACCCACTCACAGGTTGCAGGCAGTTCGAGCAAAAAAAAGTTTCTGCATGCCCCTCCAGGAACAGCTAAGCAATTCGCAAGCCCTCTTTATTGCGGCTCGGCCGAGGCGGACGAAGCGTTCACAGTTAATCCAATAACTCAGGACGGCATCACACAGAAACTAGTCCTCCCGATTGAAAAGACCAAGCCAAGCACAAGAACGACTGCTAAAGCGAAGAACAAATCAAAGGCAACAAATTCCTCGGGTTTGAGACCGTAGCCAAACTTTTTAGTGCAATTTTGGCCACTCCCGCCTGCACCAGGGCAGAAGACGTCTTCCAACTGAGGATGGCATTCACTCCTCTGGAAAGGTGGGTGCATTGGAGGATTCGAAAAGTCAGAGGCCTAGAAGGCTTCTAAGGTCATGGCTTCCAGCCTGCTTGGCAATGCTTTTGGATGCCGTTTTTTGATTTTGAGAGAAGTAAGAAAAACCCATGATGATCATCAAAGGCTCCAGCGGCAACGGCACCTTCAGCCCGTCCGAGACTTACTTCGTCTTTGGCTAGCGCCAGTGCTGAGAGCCCGGAAGCACAAGCAGTGTCAACACAGAGGGAATTTCCGCGGAAGTCCAACACGTGGGAAATCTCGCCACAAATCATTGACGAGGCATTCCCAGCCGCCGTGAAGCCACCGCAACTCTTCTTATCCCACCTGAGTCAGTAGACAATAATAGAAGGCTGCTCTGGCGGTAAACAGAAAAACTCCAAAGCAGGATGAAAACTGCGTCAAGGTCGACAGCTCTGTACAGACAAGCTGCTCGAGGTTGCTGTCCAAGTTCATTGACCCCACCATCACGGCAACCTTCTGCACCGGTGCCTGGTCGCAAAAAAGCCCGCGCCATTGGCAGCTTCATAGCTGGCCTCCAGTCCCAGGCCTTGTTGCGGATCCATCGCTTTCGCAGCGGCAGCGTTGACCCCGAAGAAATGGTGGTCAAAGAATCGGGGATGAGGCTGGAGAAAACCGGCCATCTGTGGCATTTCGGGGCCTTGAACCCAGTCCATGTGACGATCCGCCGGGATTCGGGTGATGGCGTCGATGTTGGACTGAAGTGCTGCCCGAAAGCTGCCTGTTTCAATTCCAGCAGGGAGACGGCAGGAAACCCCCATGATCGCGATGTGCTGGACGGGCGGCCCGGCTGATGAGGGCGGGAATCGATCACGAAGCAGCTCGCCAAGGCTTTCTTTCTGATCGTTCCGATTTTCCATGTCACCAAAACGCAAGAAAGGCTCACAGTCGAGGTGCGATGCAAATCTCTGTCAACATGCAATGGAGCCCAAATGGCTACAGCATCGCGTGCAAGCCGCTCTATTTCGGATGTACAAACTTGCAACATGGGTCAAACCGCACAGCACATACCTGTTTGGGTTTTTGGTGATAAGCCAGTGCACATTCCTTTGTGCCGCTTCCAATCCCTTTCAGTAGCTGCAAGCTCACATCATGCGCTTGTTCCTGGATGACATGCATGTTGCTTTTCTCACCACTTAATAGATTCAACAGATCTTGCATCACACTGAAACCAGAAGCACAAAGAAGTGAGTTTGCACGCTTCCACCCATGGGTTTCGACGGGAACTTCCCCAAAACTAAGTTGGTCGTGCCTCCTTGTACTTTCAGGCAACAGAAAATCTCGAAAGTGATCTTCTTCCACGGGATTGGAAGCGTACCAGCACGCACTGCGCCTCGTTCTCACGTCGGCGTGCTTCCGGAGCGCAACCCTGTTTCACAACGCCAACATGCTATTGTTCTCGAACACAAACGGGAACAAACAGTCTTTGCTGCTGAACCGACGACATCGACAATACTGCAACCACAACAACGACGACAACAACACCAAGAATGCTAAAGATCGGCATAACGGCGAGCACGTCAAGGCCAACGGAGGAGACAACGGCAACTAGCGCGATCGTGAAAACAAAAACAAAAACGGAAAAAGACAACGCTATTGGCAACGAGGCAATGTCAAAGACAAAGACAACGATCAAATTTTTGCAATTGGGAAAGAGACTTGCTGCAACCGCAAAGTCAAACCTTGCACATGCCTACACTGTGAAATGCTCAACTCTGGAGGTTCATGCGTTGCCCTCTCTCTTATATCCATGTTTC